TTTATTTTTATGTTTATTTTTTTAATATTTAAATTTAAATTAAAAAGATAAAATAATCAACATATTAAATTAATTATTTTTATATCATTAATAAAAAAAGTTAAATAAAAAAAAAAACCTAAAGATTTTTAAATGTTTAATGTTGTAAAAAAATAAATGCTTTCGATTATATCTATTTTTAATTCATTATTAATTTATTATAGTTTTAATTAAATGATTATAAAATAAAAATTTATTTACAATATAAAATTAATTAAAATTATTATAATTTTTAAATATTATATCCTTTTATATTTTTATCATTTATAAATAATCTTTCATTTTCTTTTTACTACTAAAAAATTTTAATTTTTACGATAAATTTTTTATTATAAAATAATAATTTTAATAACTTTCAATTATTATAAACATTTGCTTGCTTAATTTAAATAACCAATTATACTAATAATTTAATACATTTACTACACAAACTTATGTAAATAAAGAATAAATATGATTTAATTTTTTAATTATATATATATAATTAATATTGTAAAATATTTATATTAATAATTTAATATTAGTTAAAGAAATTATGTTTTTATTTATATAATCTATTTATTTATTTGTATTATTTAATATATTTTCTACATTAAAAATAGTTTTTTCTTAACAATTTTTTGTTATTTTCAAGTAATATATCAATAAATTATATAGGTTAAGTTTAGAAAATTTTAATGAAATCTTTTAGTATCTTTAAAAGTTAAGAATAATATTTACTTTTTAATAATTTAATGAAGTTTATTAATTAATTAAACATAATTAAATAATAATTTTTTATATAAACAAAATAATATTTTTTTATATAATCAAAATAATATTTTTTATAAATTTATTGATTTTATTCTATAAAACTATAGTCTCTTTTTATAATTCATAAAAACAGTGTTTTCTTATAGAAAATGTTTTTTGTTTGTTTTCCATATATTTAATTTTTAAATTTCTATTATACATAAATGGTAAATTCTTCTACAAAAATAATTATAATTTTTTTTAATAATAAATAAATAATAAAAATTTTAAAAAATATATTTTTTTATTTTTAATCTATTGAAACGAGAACATTATTTACAAAATCCTTATAATAAATTTTGTTTTATATAAATAAGTCTTATTATTTTTATTTTTTAAATTCTTAATAATTAAAAAAATAAAATAATAAAGGCATTTCTAAAAATATTAAATTTCAGTCTTATATGTGTAATCCTAATACTATATTTTTAATTATATTTGATCTTATTTTTATATTATTACCTTTTTAATGCTTTATTTATTAGAAATTTCGTCTTTAAAAAATTTAGAAGAATAAGCAGAATTACATATTAAATAAATAATATTCAAACATAGAAAATTCATATAAAAACTATAATAAATATCAAGAAATACTACTAATTTATTTTATAGATATATTTATATTGTTTAACTATTTTATACAAAATGTTAAAGAAAATATCAATTAGCATTTTCTTATATTGATTATTAAGTTATAATACTGTAATTATAAGAAGCTATGCTAATATTAATCTATAAGTCTTAATATCAAATTAAAAGTTTTAAATTAACATAATGTAAATTTTCCAATTTCAAACCTTTTGCAGTCATTATAATTAAGTTTTAATTAGTTTCGCAATCGCTAAAATATCTTAGTATAAACCTGTAAATAGAACTTATATTTTGTTATTAATTAAAACATATTTTTATAGTTATTTCTTTTATTTTGTTTATAATCCTTTTTACTTTTTTATATTTATAATTATTTATTTTTAAGATAATTAAAATAAAATTTTTATTAATGTTTCATTGTGTTAAAGAAATAAATTTAGAAATCTTAAGCAATTATTTCATAAATTAAATAATTAAAAATATATTTGATAATTGTTAATTTATCATTGCATATATAAAAAATAAGTATGAAATTTCTTATAATCCTTGAAGGCAAATTATTAAGGATGAGAAAAAGAAAAAATATGAAAAAGTAATAATTAATTAATATTTTTATCTATTTGAAATTATAAAAACTAGAAAAATATTCCTTATTTATTAAAATCAAACTATAAAACAAAACACATTAATGTAACTAATTTTTTTATTATTATTACATTTAAGATATCATAGATTACATAAGCATTAATCATATGTATTTAAATTTTGAAATAAAATACTATAATATTTAATCTTATGATTATATCACACATAATTTTAAATTTATTATTTGGTTATAAAACATGCATACTTATAGGTCAATTATATATAATTATTTTAATTTTAATTGTTTATATTTTTTTAAAAAATAAATCAATAAAAAATGTATTATTGGTCTTTATAATTTTGTTATTTATTAAAAAAAAATTACAGAAAAAATAAAATATGAATAAAATAATTACTTTTTCATATTTTTTTTTCTATAACTTTTAAAAACTCAAATAGTAAAAAATAAAGGACATTAAATAATCATTTTTTATATATTTACAATATAAAAATAATTACCTATAAATAAGTAAATATTAAATACAGTTAAAAAATTTGCAACATATTCAATATACTAAAATAAACTTATTTTATATTTATTTATTTATATTTTTTCTGTAGAAATTTTATTCTTAATAATGAAAATCGAGATTTACAGTCTTTTAAAATTAAATTGATTCATTATTTTGAGAAGAATATTATTTATTTATATTTATTAAATTAAAAATATATTAATTTTATTAAAAAATAAATAGTTTATAATTTTTAATATAAAAAAATATTTGATATTATTTTATAAATTTTTTTATACATAAACAAAAAATAATAATGTTAATATTTCTAAAATTATAAAATGTAATTATATATGTTATTTATTATGAATTTTATAATATTAAGATTATTTTTTATAATAAAAATAAAAGATAAATATATTCATTATGTATTAATATACTAATATTTTTATCAATAATGATTTTTCGTATAATAATATTATTTTTTAATTCAAAATGCTAAAAATATTTATTTCTATTTACCGTAAATATTTTTAAATGATAAATATTAAAAATAAATATATGTTAAACCCTATTTATATTTATAATTATAATTAATTTATTAATATAAACGATTAACAATATAATTAATAATTAATTTTTTATATAAATATTATAATTAAAAAATAATGTTAATTTTTATATATTTATATAAATTTTATAAAAAAAAATTAGCATATATTTATAAAAACATATTTTATTTAAATAAAGAATATGTAATTCTAGTCAAACTAAGCATAAAATAACGAGAATAAATTATCACACTTATATATAAATAATGAAATAAAATAATTAATGCTTTGCATTTAATTATAGGAAGATTAATAAAATATAAAAGATTAGGCAATACTTTTTTTAAATAATTTGAAAACCTAATTTGATATTATTTACGATTAATATGAAAATCAAATAAATTAATTCATAAATTCTTTAGAAAACAAAAATTAATTACTTAAATTTAACTAAATTTTATAAGAAATATAAATAAACAATTAAAATTTATAAAATGATCATATAAAATTCTATACTGCAAATATATTATCAGGAAAAATACAAAAAAAAATAGAAATGCATTAAAAATTAATTAAATTTAAATAAAATTTAATAAATGAATTTTATAGTGATATAAAAAAATCAATTTAAGATCTAAAAAGTAAATAATTAATTTAATATAAAGATAATGATAATGATTTAATTATTTCCAAAAAATATAAAAGAAATTAAAAATTTAACTTTTAATGCTAAAAAGTTTGTAATTTCGAATTCAATATGGAAGAAACATAATGTGTTTTATAAAAAAGCGAAAATGAATTAATTTTAATTGGTGAATATTTAAAAATTTGGGATAATTATTAACGTAAAATTACATACTAATAAAAAATAGACCAAATATAAATTTTTAATTCTAAAAAATACAGTATAGGTTGGGGTAAATTTAGTATTTTTGATGAAAAAAGGCTTATTATTGGTAATAATAATACTTGTGAAATCTTTCTATTTAATATAAAACCTTTTAAATTAGACTAAATGCTTTTTCAATTCATGAGAAATAATAGCATTTGCTAATATAAATAATTTATTAAAGTTAGCGACGATATTATGGCTTGTTTAAATGGAGATATAGTAGATATTTGGAATTTGAAATTCAATTATATTTTTTATTAAATATATAACTCATAAAGTAAAATTAACAAGATTATTAAAATAAAAAATAATATTATTGCTTCGCATAGTGAGAATGACAATCTTATTAAACTTTGGAATTGCTAAAAGTAAAAATAAATAAGTAGTATTATAATACCGACTAAATAAATACAGAATATGTGGGTTTATAATGATATTTTCTATTTTGTTTCATATAAAAAATTTATTTGTATCTATAATCTTAAAAATAATAAGATAATTAAATTTGCATAGTTACCTTTTTAAATTATTTTGAGTAAATAAATTAATGACAATATGATTGTTGGAGTTAAAAATTATGATGAGATTGTCATTTTTTGTTTAACTGATTTTCTAATTAAAAAATAAATTAAAATGGAATCTCAAATTACTGACATTTTTATTTTTAACTAAAGGGTTTTAGCTACTTTTAATATTTGTTCTGAATCTAGAAAAGGAAGAATTGGATACATCTATTGAAAAAAAAAAAAAATTATCTTTAGATAAAAATTAAAATAATTATTATTTTTATTTTATGATGATTTTTTGAAAATATAATTATTTTAAATTGAAAAAAAAAAAAAAATTCTGTTTACTTATTAATATTTCTCGTTTTTATTATATTAATATTTATTCAAATAATTTTTTTTATTTTACTAATTTTAGTAATAATTTATTTATATATTTAAACAAAATTTTATATGAAAAGAATATAATAATAATAATAATAATAAAAATTAAATAAAAATAAAGAATATTTACAAAAAATATAATACAAAAATGTATGGACTTAGAGCAAGCAAAAGAAGGTTTAATTTATTTTATTTAGAAGAGAGTGAATTATATACAGAAGACTTTAGTGGTTATTGTATTTACAAAAATATTCATTCAAAAGAAGACCAGTAATTATTCAATAATATTAAAAATAATTATAAAATAAAATATTTGTATAATAATTTTCCAAAAAAAAAAAAAATACATATAAGCAAAGAAAAAGGAAAATTCCATATATGCACAAAAAGTATTATTTTTGAATCTGATTCTCATGATATTTCCTTAATGAAATTTAATTATAAAAATATGATTAAAATTCCATAATTATGTAAAATATTTATGTAATGAAAATTAAAATACTATTATTTTTAATTGTTTAAATAGCTGATTCCTTTAATGAAAAAAGAAAATCAATCATTGAATAAAATCCTTAAACTTCAAATAAAGAAGGTGTTTTTATTTAGTTAAGCTTGAATAAACTTATTGAAATATAAACAAATGGCCCACCTTCACCTTATATAATTTATGATTTTGAAAAAGAACCATTTTATTTTATTTAAATAATTCCTATTTATTAAGATGTTTATAATATTTATGAATGGATAAGCAAATTATATTATGTTGTTAAACAATCTTAGTATTAAAATGATACTGAAGAAACTATTCAAAAAGTAAAAAAAAAAATATTTACAAAAAAAAGAATATTTCAAAAATAAATATTTAATTTTTAATATTTAAAATTGAAATATTGTTTTTTGGATATGAATTTTCTGCTATATTTTGATATGTTAAAATTATAAATATAATTATATTAAAATAATACTATGTAAATAATAGCTATTAAATAAATAAAAAAATATCTTATAAATTTATTTAATAAAAAAATACTTAAATGATATAAATAATTATATTTTATAAATAAATAATATAATTTAGTTTATTTATATGATTTACTAGAAATATTTTATATAAAAAGTTGATTATGGATAGAAATAACAAAAGTAAATTTAATATGAGCCATACTGAAAGTGTAAGTGAAAAACCTTTACTAAATAGTTAGATGTTTGTCAGATAAATACTACCTCTTTAATCAGTATACGGAATTTTATATATAACTGATAATAATATATATTTTTAACCAATGCATTCTATTTCAACAAAACCTGTAAAAATAATTCCTATAGATGAAATTTCAAGGCTTTATAAAAGACGTTTTGAATTAAGACATATAGCATTAGAACTTATGCTAAATAATAAAAATAAATCCTATTATTTTGCATGTGAAGATTAATAAAAAAGAAATTAAGTATACAATGCATTATTAGGAAAAGTACCAATATCATGCATATCGGAACTTTCATTAGATAAAGTGACATTAATGTGGTAAAATAAAAAAATTTCTAATTACGAATATTTAATGAATTTAAATCATGCAGGTAAATTTTAAATAATACTTTTATTTATAAATAATAAAAATAAGGTAATCGTTCATTTGCTGATCTTTCTTAATATCCAGTTTTCCCATGGATTTTGAAAAATTATGATTCAGAAGAAATCGATTTAAATGATCCTCATAATTACAGAGATTTAAGAAAAACTGTCGGAGAATTTAATCTCTAGAGATTTAAAGATTTTAAAGATAGGTATTATAAATAATCAAATTAAAAATTATTAATATAAGGTTATTTATAAAAGATATAATGAAATGCCTCCTCCTAAATTTTTATATGGAACACATTATTCAACTCCTGGATATGTAATAGGATATTTAGTCAGAAATAAACCTGAATACATGCTAAAGCTTTAAAGCGGAAAATTTGATAAACCAGATAGATTGTTTAAAAGTATAAAAGGAGATTGGAGAGTATTTTTTATTTTAAATTAATTTATAACTAATTTTTTTAAAAAAAAGAATGTAATGTAAAATCCAACTAGTTTAAAAGAATTAATTCCATAATTTTTTGGAGAAGACGATTCTTTTTTGATTAACTATAAAGAATTAAATTTCGGTATTAGATAAAATGGTAAAAAAGTAGATCATGTAAAGCTACCAAAATGGGCGAAAAATGATGCTAAATTGTTTTTGAAAATATAAAAAGAAGCATTAGAACATGATATAGTTTCAGCTTAATTACATCATTGGATAGATTTAATTTTTGGTTATAAATAAAGAGGTCCACACGCTATAGAAGCAAATAATGGTATTTATAATTTATATTATTATTATATTTATTCTTTTAAAAATAGTATTTCATCCACTTACTTATGAAGGATATGTAGATCTTGATTAAATTTCAGATCCTATAGAAAGATAAGCATAAAGATGTTAAATTAATGAATTTGGACAATGCCCAAAATAGCTATTTAAAATTGCACATCCTCCTAGAAATAGCAACTAATTGTAAGAAGATATATTAAAATATGATATGAGTATTAAAAGTGATAATTTTTATGAATAATAAAATTTAACATATTCTGAAATAATCAATAATAGCAAATATTTATGGGATATTTCAGACAGAAATTTAATTGTGTAGAATATTTAAAAAGTTCACAAAAAACATGTAACATAAATAATAAAATTAGTAAATAAACCTAATTAAATAATCAGTATTGGCGAAGATGGTTTTTTGAAAGTCTGTGATTTATAAAGTAAATAAGTTATTAAAAGTTTCAAAATTTGTGATCTTAATCTTTCTAGTTTTGTAGTTTTAAAAGAAGATGAAATATTCGCTATAGGTTGCTGGGATAATAAATTATATATATTTAATTTAAATTATGGATCCAAAATCAAAATTATTAAAGCGCATAATGAAAGTATAAGTAGTATAGGCTATTTAAAATCTAAATGTGTTCTTTTAACTGCTTCATGGGATTGTACAGTAAAATCATTCGATTGTGAAGATGGGATTATTAATGAAACTTCTGAGGATTTATTTTGGGATCATGACTCGTAAATAACAAATTTAGCAATAAACTAATAAGAAATCTATGTTGCTGTCGGCGACGTAGATGGTAATAATTTAGTCTTTTATTTATTATTTTTTTATATTAATATTATTTTAGGAAATGTTATTATATTAGATTTTAAAAATAAAAATAAGATTGCTTCATATAATATAAATGATTAATAAATAATTAAAATAATATTTTCTAGAGGTCATATATTTGTTGCAGGTGATAGAACTGTAAAACATTATGAATTAAATAGTATTTATATTAAATATTTTATTTAAATTTAATTTTAAATAAAAAGTAAATGATATGACAGAAATCAGTCATTTTTAACTCGAAAAGTAAAATGGCTAAATAACTGATATAGAAATTGATGAAAAGCATTTAATTTTAAGTATTTTATTAAATTATTTAATAAGCTGAAATATAATTATTTAAAACCTAGTTACTAATAGAGGACACTTAGGTATATATGATTTATTATCAGAAAAAAAAATAGGATTTTATTTTAACAATTACAGTATTGAAAATGAGGAAGAATTCCCTTCAGATGACTAATAATTTAGCACTTTAACAACTTAAAAAGATGAAAATTAAAATGTCACAGCTTATATAGGGTCTTTAAATGGATCCATTAATATTATTAGCAAAATTTGAAAAATATATTTATATAATAATAATAATTGTTTTATTTTATATTGTTTTTTTAATAAATATTAAAATAAATATGAATTAATGTTATTTAAAAGTTAAGATGATATTAAATATAAACAATTATATAATAAAAATTAAAGCTTGTTAATTATCAAATACAATATACCATAAATATTTTAAAATAAAGTGTATAACTAAAATTATAAATATTTATAAATTTATATATTATATATTTTATTTTTATTAAATCTTTACATTATTTATATTAAATTAATAAAAAAATATCAATTAAACCTACTTTTATTTTAGACCTATTTTGATCTTGTTATTTATTATTATTAGATAAATATTTGAAAATAGAAATTATTATAATTAAACTTAATTTAAAAAAATTAAATTTATTTATTTGAATAAAAGATTACTTTTATGCATAAAAAAGGTGTTGGCATTTCAATTTTAATGTTTATTAGTTCAATATTTTTTTATTCTGATTATTATTTTATAAACTTCCTTTTTTATAGATCGAGTTTCTATAAAAGTTATACGAAAAATAAAAAACATCAAAAAAAAAAATATTTTTTTTCATTATAATTCTTTGATAATGTTTTCATTATTCTATAATATATTAAAGTGTCGCATATTTAAATTTCTTTCATAAGTTGCACTCTATCGGAATAATATGCAATAAATTATTTTATTGTATGTCTGGTTATTAACAATTTTTATAAATGAAGCTGACAATAAATAAAAAAATATGAATTAATATATACAAATTAATACAAAAAATCATAAAAAAATCAATTAAAGGATTAATGAAATAATTTATTAAACTTAATAAAGATATATTTATTGTTATTTACAACAAATATGTGTGTTACTGATTTTTTATCGCTTTGGCAATGATAAAATTACAATAATATCCGAAACCTTTCTGTATGATATTTGGAGAGGGGATATTTAATAATTTAGTTTCAATATAAGGCGATTCAATATATTATCAGAGATGATGATTAAGCAAAATAAATTAATTTTACATTTGCTATATTTTTAAATATTATAGAATAATTTATTTGGAATACAGTATTTGTTGTTTTAATAGAAATTTTTTGGGTTTTTTTGACTACTTTTCGTTTAAAAAATTAAGATACTAATCTCATAGTCCAGCAATTGAAAGTATTTTAATTCTATATTTTGGATATGGAGTTTATAAATATTCTGAAATTTTTCATTTTAAAGTGATTCATTTCTATTTTAGTGAATGGGATTTCAATGTCATATTTTAACTTATAATAATTATACATATATATATTTATTTTTAAAAAATATTTTTTAAAGAAAGACATTTTAAATATATCTTTTTTATTTATTTATGAATTTTTATTTTTCATAATAAGGCTAATTCAATATAAATATTTTATTTTCTCTTAGACTTTCTATTTATATGAAGCCTTAATTTTTTACAGCCCGTTAGATTATTTTTTGTTTCTTCGACAATAATAGAGATATAGTTTTTATATTTAAATTAAAAATAAAAAATGGACTGAAAGGAAATTAATCAGATATATGAATTATTTATTATTTCACTCGTAGAAGTAATTAGAGGATTGATAACATTTACTTTAATCTCAAACATAAATGCATAAAAATAAGTATTTAAAATTAATACTACATTAATGATTTTAATTTATATTATTATTATATTGAATTGATTAATGACTTTCTTTATAAAAATTATTATTTAATTAATTTATTAAACTCACATAAATACTAAAGAAAATAATTCAATGAGAAGTATGAGTGCAAAAGGAGAATATATAGAAAGTAAAAAATAAAAAGCTTTATTTTAAAAAAATGAAAAATATTTGAAAATTTATAAATACTCAATGTTTATATTTTTAGAATGTTTATTCTTAATTTAATTTATATATATATCATATTAAAAAAATAATAAATAAAGAAATAGTATATATTAATAAAAATCATTTTATAAAATAAAGTAAATAAAAATAAAAGCTTTTATGAAAATGATAATCAATAGATATATCATTTATCATTTTAATTTATATTAAACTAGAAAATTTTAATTTTTTATCAAATAAATTTGATTTTTTTATTTTTAAAATAATTTAAAGTAAATATAATATTAGATTTTTATATCACTTTTTATTTATAAATATAATAATTTTATTTTTGATATGAAATTTTCAATAAAACTTTAATTTTATTGATATAATTGATTAATTATAAATAAAAAAGACTATTTTTAAATTAATTATCTAATATCAACAATGTATTACATATATTTTTAGAAACAAAATTTTAACATAAATTATTATAAATGTTTATTCTATTCAGTCTTTTTTAATAGGTCTTGACTTTTTATATAAAAAAAATCCTAAACATATTAATGCAAGGAATAATAAAACATGAGGACCATAAATAAGCAAATTTATATCAAAGAAATATTAAGATTAATTATTATTTTATAAAAATGGTGTTATAAATATCCAAACTGTACAGTAAACAAAAATTAAAGAAGCTGCACCCATCATGGCTAAACCTATTATAGACATTTTATTTATGTTTTTTTTTATAAATTTTTATTTTAAATTTTTTTAAAATTATTATATTATATCTTATATTTTAGAATCAAAAGATATTATTAATACTTTTTTTTTATTATAAATTTAGAAACTATAAAACCCTATGAAAATAAAAAAAAATTGAATTTTATTTTATTTTTCAAAAAAAAAAAATCATAAAATAAAATTAAAAGGAATATGGAATACTCATCCAAACATAAAAAAATATTAATTTTTGACATAAATTGTTAAATATCTATGAGTTTTAAGGCATAATAGCAAATATTCTATAATATTAATAATCGAATTTCCATATTATTATTTATTTTTAATATTATATAATATTCATTTGTAATTGATATTTATTCACATAAAATATTTAAATAATCTAAAGGTTTATATATTATTTATATATATTTTAAATTATTTTTTTTGAAGTTAAAATAAAATTAAGATATTATAATTTTTTCCTACTTATAATATTTTAATTAAATAGAAATAACATATTTTTAATGAGTATAAATATTATATTATTTTTTTAAATAAAAAAATTAATTCATTTTTTAGGTTTTAAGTATTTATATTTTTTTTAATTTTGTGTAAACGTTTAATTTTACAAAATACTTGCTTCGAAAATATTATTATTATTATTATTGCTATTGTTATTAGTACTATCATATTTTACTATTTTATTCTTTTTCTTGGTATTATTTTCTTATGCATTAGTTTATTAATTTTTTAATTATTATTTTTAATTATTATTATTAGTGAAAGAACTTTACTTACTATTTTCGAAGTTTTAAGTGTTTAGATATTAATTCATGTCTAATCCTGTATATATGTCTTTTAAAATTTTACTATTTTTAGCATTAGTAGCTAATTATATAGCTTTTTAATTTTCATAAGTTAAAATTTCATTTTCAGATTTTAATTGTTTGTTTTATTTTGTTAAGTTTTCAATTATTTTTTAATAATTTTAAATTTAGTCATTATTATTTTTGAATTCTTAAGTATTTTCATTAAAATTACTCAACCTAAAACTATTATTATTCGCTTAAAGTTTTTTTAATTATTATTCCTTTAATAATAAATTATTAAAATAAAAATATTTTATATAAAAAGTGTATTTTATATTAAAAATATAAAATCTTTGAAAATACATCCATTAAGTTGGTCATTTAATTTATGGTATTTTTTAATATTTAATTTTCTTTTTTATGTTAATCCAACTTTTATATAATAAATAATTAAAATTTATTATTTATATAATTAATTTTTAATACTTCTTAATTTAATTAATTAATTGTCATATTGGCCTCGATTATGCAATTATCTATTATTTAAATTAAATTATTTATTTTTAAAGGGGAATTTTAATAATCTTCAGCTAATACCATGCTTTTTGTAGGAGAATAAGGACTCTAATTATTTTATATATACTCTTAATTTTTATTTTTAGATTCAGATTAATTATTTATTTTATATTGATAATTTTAATCATTTAAAAATTAATTATTTATATTGCATGTTTAAATTAACTAACTAAGATTTACTTCTTGATTAATTTATATTTTAGGTATATAAAAATAAATATTTACTTTTATTATTATTATTACTGTTGTTCTATAATAATGGTTATTATTTTTATTTATCTAAACTGTTTAATAATTGACTTTCTTCAAATTATTCTATCAAACGAATATCTTTGTTATTTATAAATAATTTTTATAATACACTAAACATTTTGTTGTATACATTTTTATGAATCATTTTAGCTCATATTATACTAACATTATGATATTGATCGATTTTTTTGTAAAATTTCTTTATTATCTTATTTACTTGAATAATTTGATTATGTTTAGTTATGCGAAAAATAATTATTTATTTTATCCTTTTTTTTGATCCAGATAAATTCCTTAATGATTTGTTTTGCATTTTGGCATAATTTAACTGGTTTTTAATAATTTATTTTATTTATTCTAAATTTTTTCTTTTTTATTACTTATTGTTGTATTTTATTTAAAAGAACATTTCCTGATTTTGAATTTTGCATTTTTATTTTTAAGAAATTAATAGTTTCTATATTTGAAAAAAATACAATTTATTAAATCAATAAATAAATTCTAATTTAAAATAATTAAATATAATAATTTAAAAAATTAAAAAATTAAAAAAAAATTAATGAAAATTATATTTACCAATATATTATTGTTTTTATGAATATTAATTTATTACATTTTAAATTTATAAAATCTAAAAAATAGGAAAATCAAATAAATATTATTAAAATTTATCTTAAATGAAGTTCTAAATAACAGTAAAAGTATAATCAAACATAAATATAATTAGATTATGCTACAATAATTAAAATATAAATTAAATACAAGTAAAGCAAATTAATGATTTTAAATTTGTGAT